AAGTTCAGTGTCTTAAGTGAAAATTCAAAGGACAGCTGGATGGTGATTATCACTGAGAGAAGATCAGTGCATTTATGTATCTGCAATCAATCAACACCTTCTGTTTTTGCAGAGTTCTCTTCTCTTTAAGAGCAGAGTAAAAATCTACAATAAAATAGTGCTCATGTTGAAATCCTACACGGGAGATATTGTTATTATTGGAGGTTGATTTTATTTTATTTTATTTTTTTAGAGATGTGGCTTCTTAAATGTGTAATTGTGCTTATTAGGTTTTTGCATTGAGGTGCAGTGATGTGCAGCACTGTGGTAACTAGCAGCACAGAAGTACACTCCACTGCTGCTTAGTTTGAGATACTTAATCGTTAATGTGCAGTTCTCGCCTTTATTTGCATTCCCTTCCATCGTCACATTCACTCCAGTCTCTGGATAACCTTTGTCAATATTCATGTATCCCAGATATTGTAGCTGTTTCTTTGACTGCTTGTACCAGAGGATTTTGTTATAGCTTTGAATGCTGTGTGAGCAGTAGACTTTAACATCCTCTCCTTTTGTGTAAATGTCAGCAGGAGTCTGGTCGACTTGGTCACTTGAAGAAGAACCTGTTAGAAGACATCAACCAAAGAAAAGACGTAAAATAGAAAAATAATAGAAATGTGTTATAAAATGCAGCTTAAATACAATTATAACTGTAGCTGTGGATAATACTGTTCTAAAGTGTATTTAATACATTCATGCCATTACCTGAAACAAGAATATTGTTAAAATAGATGCTTAGAAGTAGAATAATCATGATTCCTTGATGCTCTCAGTGCTGCTCCTTTGTGCAAAAACGTTCTTATGAACAAACCATCATTTAGCAGGTGGAGTCTCAGCATGCTTATTATCATAATCGTCATAGTTTCAGTCACTACCACCAATTTACATTTGTGTTTCAGTGTAAACGTTTGAGTAAAGGTATACTGCCACCTAATGAGAGGAAGCGTTACAGGTTCACTGGGCTGAAATGTTGTTATTGGGAACAGTTAACAAGAAGAAGATGATTGTGATGTTGTGTTTTCTTGCTGAAGTAAATATCCATGTACTTGATATTGTGTTACGTCTTACTGTATGTTATTATGCTCATTATTTTTCTCTCCCATTAAGTAAACAGACCCAACCTTTTAAGGTGGTTTGAGTTACACAAATTGGCCACCATCCTAAAGTTTTCCTTTTTACTTTGAAGGTTGATATCTTTGTTTTGTACATTTTGTCCATAACAGTACCTCCTACTGTAGTTACTCACACTGTAACTGTAACTACTCCATTAATCTGTATAATTAAAAGAATCTCAAAAGTAATTCTTAGTGATTGGTAAAAGAAAAATTGTATATCCACATATTTAAAGAACATTTTTCAGTATAGAAGCTGCTACGTTATTTACAGCCTGCTAAAGAACAACTGAGGAACAACTCTATATGTAAATATTTGAGTCCTCAGCGTGCTGAAATCACACCGCTGATATTTTGAATATTAGAGGTACTTTTGACAAAAGGATGTGGCAGCTTACATGTTGTATTGCTGCTCATTGCAGCAACTTTCTATTATAATATCTGATTTTTGTGAGACCAACATTGGTTATAATGGTGGATACCAGGTGTAAGGAGCTGTGAGCTGTAATCCAGATATTGAAAAGCTGAGATAGGTTTTTGTATGGAGGTGCAGTGATGTGCACCACTGTGGTATCTAGCAGCACAGAAATACACACCACTGCTGTTCAGCTTGATTTCTTTAATTGTTAATGTGCAGTTTTTGCCTTGATCTGCATTCCCATCCATCGCCACATTCACTCCAGTCTCTGGATAACCTTTGTCATTAAGCATGTATCCGAGATATTGTAGTTGTTTCTTTGACTGCTTGTACCAGAGGACTCTGTTATAGGTTGGAATACTGTGTGAGCAGTAGATTTTAGCATCTTCTCCTTTTGTATAAATGTCAGCAGGATCCTGGGAGACTTGGTCACTTAAAGAGGAACCTGTTGAACAGACATCAAATAAAAATATGACACAACATCTTATGTAAAATATAAAATGCAGCTATACAGCTAAAATTGAAGCACTGTATAATACTGGATATATATATATACTGAACATATTCATGGCATTACCTGAAACTATAATATAATTCAAATAGATGCTTAGGAGCAGAATAATCATGATGCTTTGTGATGAACGATGTTCTCAGTTGTCCTGATCATTTTCAGTTTTCTGTCTGAGTAAACTTTAATAGGAGGAAACTGTCATTCATTGGGTGGAGTCTCAGTAATCCTCAGGTTATTATTAGAATAATTCACATGAGTAAGTCTGACTAGTGATATACTGCCTCCTTCTGAGAGGAAGTGTCACAGGTGCGAGGGGCTGTGAAATGTGTACATAGGCATAAGCATGACCAAGACCAGCCTCATTCACTATAAAATTGACAAGTAAAAGAAAAAAGCAAAAAAAAGTCCAAAAATTTAAATGTTTCAACTTTTTATAACTTACAACAACAACAACAACAACAACAGAAGAACACACTGGATGGCATGTCTGCTGTTAAAACAGAACATTGAGGCTACTATTTACACAGGCTTATCAAGATTGGACAACAGAAGATTGGAAAATGTTTTTAGTCTGATGAGTCTCAGATTCAGATGATAATCAAAAAGATGTGTAAACAACGTGAAAGTATGGATCCACTCCGTCTCGTATTAACAATTCAGGTGGATAATGGTGGTGTAATGGGTTGGTGGATATTTTCTTTCAACTGTTGGCCGCTCAGTACCAACTGAGTATCGTTTAAATGGCCCATCCTACCTAAGTATTGTTGCTGCCATGTCCAGCAGGATAACACAGCATGTGACAAAGCTCAAATCACCTTAAACTATCAATATATCTGACATATATGTTTGAGAATTTTTGTCATCATTTTATTACGTTAAAGTAAAATAGTGCAGATCGTTTGAATATTATAGGTTTCTTTTTAAAAGAGGATGTGACACTTTTATTCATAGTCAAAAGCTAATAATAATAGTCCCCTACAGATATATTTGCCAGTGGAGATTGGCCTCTATTACAAGATGTGACAGCTCAAATGTTGCATTGTTTTTTGTTTTTTTTTGTTTTTTATAAGGAAACCTTTGTTATAATATCTGATCTTTGTGAGACCAACGTTGGTTATAATGTTTGATTCCAGGTGTGAGTGGCTGCAAGCTGCCATACAGAAATTTTTAAAATGTGTTTGGGAGGTTTTTGTATTGAGGTGCAGTGATGTGCAGCACTGTGGTATCTAGCAGCACAGAAGTACACTCCACTGCTGCTTAGTTTGAGATACTTAATCGTTAATGTGCAGTTCTTGTGCTGTCTTCCATCCCCGTCCATTGTTATATTTACTCCAGGTTCTGGATTACTGTTATCATAATACATGTATCCAAGCAGTTGTAGCTGTTTCTCTGACT